ATTTCTCCCCCTATTTAGAAGCCTTTGAGAGGGAACTGACACTGATTCTTACACCAAAAGCTATCAAAATACCTGAGAGCAAATCCTGAATCCATCACTCTAGAGTCCAGCCTTGGAAGAGAAAAGAAAAATGAAGAAGAACCCAATAGAGGATTGTTTTTGGAAGCCCTTGTCAAGAAATTCCAATGGACTCTCGCATGAACATTTGAAAATTGCCATGTTCTGACTCTTTTCTAGTTCTCTGTCTAGAACTTGTAATGCTAATTACTCTTGTCTTTACTTCTCCTTTACATATCCGATTCACAATTCAAAGACTTTCTTTTCCTCCTTGAGGTAAGAGTTATGCATTTTGGGAGTCTTTTAGATAGACCCACTGAAGGGGGACTCCAATTGCCTCACCCTGTGACCCTGCTCAACATGGAAGAAGCCAGAGTGGTCTGTGTCCCAATTCCCTATTGGCAATTTGGGTAACCTCTTCAGAGGATGGTGTGATAAGAATAGGAGGTAGGAATTAGCTAGGCAGTTAGGGTAAAAAGACCCCTAAGAAATGTAACCCGTTTCTTGGCTAAAACTCACAATGTCCTCTTAGCAACCTACTCTGTTCCAAAGGCCAAAATTTTCGGAAATATTTGGGAGCTTTTATTTAATCCTTAAAAGGTTTTAGGGTTACCACTTCAGAGGGGGGAATGTTAGAGTAGCCAAAAGCCCCATAAAAAAAATAAATAAATCAAAGAAGAAAGAGTACATGAAGTTATCAGGAAAAAAAAAAAGTGATGGGGAGTTATGGGAAGAGTTGGAGGGGAAGAAGTGGGCGTGGATTTGATCAAAACACCTTATATACATGTATGAAATTCTCAAATTATTTATGTAAATAAAAAATATAAACATGCTAACCAAGCCTCTTGGTGTTTCAAAATGAGCATCTGGGCATCTGGGCAGTAGACAGTTGTTTAAAACAGGAATAGTTAAGTTTTGGTAAATTACAAAAACAGTCTTTCATTGTTTGGAGGAGGAGAAGGGAACTGGAGACCTGGACACTCAACCCTAGTTAGCCAAGTTTCTATCAGTGAGCTCTGTCCCAGCCTTCCTCTGCCTGGATTACAGAGTTCATGCCTCCATGGGGACGTGCAGTCAGTGTGTGTTGTACAGCATCCTTCCATTCCATCTTCACTTGACATCTAAAAATGATAGAAATGAGCACAGAGGAATGGAAGGGTTGTCACAGCTGCTTTACAGTTCATTGTTTCCCTATTTATCACTGAAAACTTACACCGTGATCCATTGTCAGAAGCGGATGAGACCTGTCACCAACCTCAATGCTCTCAAAAAAGCAGGATTTGGAAGCCAGGCATGGTAGCACAAGCCTGTAATCCCAGGATTTGGGGTGCACAGAGGAGGTGAATTTTCATGAGTTCAAGGCCAGCCGTGTCCACATATCAGGTTCCAGGTCATCCAGGGCTACGTAGTAAGACTCTGTCTCCAAACAAAACCAAAAGCAAAACAGGACTTGCATTCCAAAAGACTGAATGCAGTCCTCTATACTGCGAAACTTGTGACAGCTGCGCCTGTGTGTGTGTGTGTGGGGGGGGGGGGGGTTGCTCTACCTTGAAGCTGGGTTACCAGCCCCTGGACTCAAGTATCCAGTTTTAAAGGAGCATTTACAATCATTTCATCTAGGCCCAGTACAACACATAGTCTTAATAAAATGGAATCTTTGTCTCCAGCAGAGAGAGGAGCCTAGCAGTAGATAACATTGTTGAGTGCCAAAGGTAGAATCAGCAAGCAAAACACAACCACACCTTCCAAAGATGATTCTGTAAGAATGTATTTTGTTGTGGATAATGCAAAACATGAATGAATTTTTCAGGGCTTTTTTTAATATTCTGGCAAAAGCTGAAAGAATAGGCTTCCCTCACCCATGGAGAAGATTTGCCCTCTTGTAGGATGTGAATCTTTTTTTTTTTTTTTTTTTTGGTCTTTTTGACACAGGGTCTCCCTGTAGTCCCAGCTTGCCTGAAACTCACAGAGCTCTGCCTGCCTCTGTCTCCCCAGTGCTGGGATTAAAGGCGTGTACCACCATGCTCAGCCTAGGATGAGACATGAATGTAGAGAGACAAAGAATGTAGAAAACTCTCTCTGTTGAGATTTTGTAATCTAGAAAATTGAAACAATTGCATAATCTACATCTCCAGTTCAATTGTTATAACAGAAAAAGGGATGTTCAGGTCAAATTGAGAAACAGAGATGTATGTGAAAATCCATAGCAAACAGAAATAGGACCTAACATGAGGAAAGCCTTCTCTGGATCCAAAAATTAATATAATACTTACGTTTTAGTTCTGTCGTAGGGAGGGAAGAAATAGGGGTTTACAGGCAGACAATCAGACTGCATTGATAAACCTGCCCTCTTGGGATCTCAGCTACACTTGAAAGTCAAATTTGCTAATTGCTAGGAAATCAACCAAGAATTTGGAGAGAAAAGAGTTTCCCTTTAAGATGAAATTACAAAGAGGAGCCTTCTCTGTATGAGGCAGTAATGGGTTAAGTGTTGACAAGTGGGTGGCAGTCACTCGTGGTGACATAAGACGTCCATTGTTCTCCGGTGAAACCAACATGCAAGTTGGAGTCAGGGGCAGCTCCAGATATCCTGAAATGCCATCGATGCCATTTGGTTTTAGAGGAAGGCTAGCCTGGACCCTGGTCTTGCGAGCTTTGTCATTAATGTGTGACTGAGCAACCTATTCTGATTACAACTCACACGGAGTTCTTGAAAAAAGGTACCAATTTACTTTATTTAAAAAGGTGTTTCACCATTTACTAGACTTGTATTAATATATACACACATTTATAGGATTATATATTCATGCAGACACACTACACATTTTTGGGTGGAAAAAAAAAAAAAGATCGTTCGCCATTTGAATACATGTGTGGATAAAATAATACCAGGATCTTCATTGGGGATACTTTGGCTGAGTGGTAAGTTGGGGAACAGGGTCTGTGCGTCAGCCCTTAGGTGTTCGTATCAGAACGCGTACAGTAGAGCTGTTGAAGAGAGCGCTGCGGAAACCTTTGCTTTTGGCTAGCAGCTTGCAGGGTCTAATCATGGCGGGGGGGGGGGGTGGGGGAGGGGAAGGGACGAGGGAAGATGGCTCCAACAGCCTCCCTTATGGGAGCACATCCCCGGAGGCCCCGCGCTCCCGCGCTCTGGGTGGGAGGGTGGTAAAGGAACGTCCTGCTGACCCTCGTTTTACCGGCACCGCGTAAGCCACGCACAGTTTCCCCGGGTGCCAGCTGCTTAACTGCGCTCTCCCACTCCTGGTTATGATCCACACTGAACCAGCGGTACATCTCTTTTCTAGAATGTCATTATAAACAAGGGACCTCTTACCACGAAACATGCATCTCAAAGCCCAGCTGCATTCCCCGCCCCAAGGCACACGGACACAATCACAGGTCTTAGTCACGCAAGGTGGCACGCTCTTTTGAGGTTGGAAGGTGGCTCTGAAAAGAGCCTTTGGTTTGGGGGCGCCCGGGCCGCTCCTCACTTGGAGCTGGTGTACTTGGTGACGGCCTTGGTGCCCTCGGACACGGCGTGCTTGGCCAGCTCCCCCGGCAGCAGCAGGCGCACCGCCGTCTGCACCTCGCGGGACGTGATGGTCGAGCGCTTGTTGTAGTGCGCCAGGCGGGACGCCTCGCTGGCGATGCGCTCAAAGATGTCGTTGACGAACGAGTTCATGATGCCCATGGCCTTGGAGGAGATTCCCGTGTCGGGGTGCACCTGCTTCAGCACCTTGTACACGTAGATGGAGTAGCTCTCCTTGCGGCCGCGCTTGCGCTTCCTGCCGTCCTTCTTCTGCGCCTTGGTGATAGCCTTCTTGGAGCCCTTCTTGGGGGCCGGAGTGGAGCGAGATGGTTCAGGCATCCCGAGGCTAGGGCTGCTCTGACACCGACCGTGATGCGCGGAGGGTAGGGCTATTTGTCATCTTTATATTTAAATGAGGACTCCAAACCCGTAGCATCTGATTGAACAACCAGACAACTTATGGCACTAGGAGGTAACGGCGCTTCTTTCCTATTGGTCCATAGTGCAGCCAATCGGAAAACGAGTCGGAGCACCGGCTCAGGTGTTTCATTTGTTCAAACCCCTTGTTCCAGGGTGAGCAGAGCTGAAGTCCGTGGGTGTGGAAGTGGCCGAAGGGACAAAGCGGGGGTTCCCACCTTCTTCTCCGTGTCTTTATGAGGCAAAACGCCCGCCATTTGTCTTTGAGATCAAGTACGGTGGGAAAGTTTGATGCCAGCCTAGTTGGAGGAGCAATGGCAGCTTCCAAACGCTTTAACGTTTTCCAATCTTACCCACTAAAACGGGGATGGGGGTTGGGTAACAAAAGCAAAGACTGACTGTTTTCTGAATCTTAAGAGCAAATTACAATAGCTTATTAGGAAATCTGAAAACAGGTACTTCCATTGGGCAGATTTTTATTTAGTTTTTTATAAGATGTTATGTGTATGAGTATATTGCCTGCATGTGAGTACACCCATGTCCTGCAGTACATGAGGAGGTCAGAAGAGGGCGTCAGAAGAGGGCGTTGGATTACCCTGGAACTGGAATTATGGATAGCCAGCAGCCGCCATGTGGGTGCTGGGAATCGAACCCGGGTCCTCTACAAGAGCACCCAGTGCTCTTCACTGCTGAGCTATCTCTCCAGCTCCATTACACATATTTTTTTTTTCATTACACAGATTTTTTAACTGGAGAAGGAATGCTCAGGAATCATCCTTTCTCTTTACTGGTTCTGGAGCTCAGTGGGCAGTGCTGGAGGCCGGTGGTCCATAAGTGGTTAAATTCCATTGGCATGAACCAGCATCCTCACATCCTGGACCCTGCGCTGCCGTGGGTGACTGAGCACACACCCCCTTTTCTTCTAGGGGGAGGCTCTCTCACCCAACCACGAAGCAGGGATCTTTTAAAAGCCTCATTATTAACACAAATGACAGAGTACATAGATTATATATGACGCATATATGGGGGGGTGGGTCCCAGAAAGGGGCTGATTGTTGATGAAACAGTAATCATATTCAGGCTCCAGTAGGAGAGAAGGCTTTGCCTGGGGGTAGCACCCTGCGGGATTCAGAACAGGTTTACCAGAATCCTGGCAAGCAGTGACCCTTTAGGGGTTTGGAGCTGAAGAAAGTGCCTGGGTTAGAGTGAGTGCTGTGGGTTTTATGGAGCACGTTTGCAGGAGTCCTCTCCCTAGGTTGCAGGATTGTAAAGAAGGAACTCTTTGTCTTCCGCAGTTTCCAGCTGGTCCTGAAGACAAAGGCCTTCCACCAAGGACGTCTGGTGTGGCCGAGGCGCTGGAGACCCCCTGTTAAGGGCAGCCAGGGACCCCAGCCCACTCCAGGGAGGAGCAGGGAGCTTCGGACCAAGTCCAGGAAACAAAGTGGCTGGTTCCCCTTGCCTGTGTTTGCAGACGCGGCCGCTGTGGCCATTTTCATTTTTATGTCATCAAATGCAAAAGAGCCGCGAATGCCAGGGACTAGAGCGGCTGAGACAAAGCCTCGCGACAGATGCATCAGTCCTCGGAGGACCTGAGCGGGTCCCCAGCCCCGCGAGCCACCCGAACCCGGGGCTGAGGACCAGGTCCACCGCGCGCCCTCAGCGCCCTGGGTGGCTCGGCGAATTTGCCACTGGCTCCTGCCCTTCGGATTCCAGTGATAGGTTCAATGCAAGTGACACCACACCCCGTCCTGCTCTACGGTGATGCTTGCTTCTCCCTAAGCGCAGCAATTACATGTCTTTGGGAGCTGTTGAAAGCAAACCGAATGGCTTCAGGCGGTGTTTGGAGAAGCTTTGGGAAGCTCGCGACTGTGTGCACTAGACTCGGAGTTTAGGGGGATCCGTGCATTTCTGGACGGGAAGCGTCAGCTCCGGAAGAAAGGCACAGGTCCACCCAGAGTGGACCGCGAGGGCCGCAGGGGACGGAAGGAGAGCACAGGAGGAGGTTATCAGGCAGGGGGCTGGGGAGAGTGCGGGAAAGGGTTCAGGACTAGGAGATGGAGATAGAATCAGACCGAGATGCAGATGGCGAGCGGGCAGCAGGCCGAGTCCCAGGCCTGCCCCCAGGGGACATCTGAGCCTGGCCTGCATCCCTTTGTTCAAGGTTCCCGGTTCCCCCATGGCAGGCCAGTCCAAGGAAACCACCGCAATACCCAAGAAGAGAGGAGAGTAAGAGGACGCAAACACGCGTGTAACACTACAAATTCCACACCCAGGAACAACTGAGGGCCGCTGCCAAGCAGGGAACAAAGAGCATCTTTGGAAAGCTGCTGGAACAGGCGCCCTACGGTTTGAGGGAATGGGAGGAGGGTGCACTGAATAAAGTGCACCGAAACCACCCCAGGCTTCTTGACTGGATTAATCCATCCCGGGTATTGAATGCTTTAAAACTGCAGACTCCCCACCAGCAAATGGGCTCTCATGTGCAGACCCCCAGCTTGGAGTCGTCTTTTCTGTGTAAATTACCCAGCCTGTGGTATTCAGCCACAGCAGCAAAAACAACTGACAATCCCCTATCTGCCCAGCCTTCTCCGTCGACTTCCTTCCATTCCATTTACCTTTGTGCATCTGGGTACTGGGACTCAGGCTCTCTGTCACTTCTCATAAGCCCTCTGTGCACAGGGCACCAGGTACTCCATCCACAGTCCTAAGCCTGAATCCAAGCCTGCTTTGCCGTTTCTTATTTGGGAGTCTCGTCTCCTTGTTTTAAAATGCAGTTTTATTTTTAAATGCAGGTATGGTGAAGCCAGCTGAGCAGAAGACTGATGCCTCTGCAGAACCTGTCAGAATCAAAATGGAGTGATTGATTTCCACTGGGTCTGCATGACCAATCGCCACCCACTGTGGAACCCTGCAGAATGAATGATGCCCAGGTTATGGTAAAGACGGTGGGGCTGTTAATATTTACTCATAGAAAGAGGGGATCACCCCACCTTTGCTGCATTCGTCTTGGGGGATCCTACTGGTGTATATAGGAAGTGGTAGACTGGCTGGGGTTGGGGACCCCATCGGTACAGCTCTCCTGGGTCATCACCCATGCTGGGGTGGGACTTTTTGGTGATACAGAAAATACATGCTCCTGTAAGTAAACACTTACCTATGTCCTGTTGGTAGCCCCAATAAACTTGATGGTTCTCCAAGCTGATCTTGGTGAAATCATTTATTTGGCAGAGCAGTGCGCTGTTTGGGGTGAACAGACACTTCACATAACACTTTCGTCCAGTCCTAACCAAACATACATACCGCTGAGAGGACGGTCATGAAGCAGGGATCAAAACTCAGATGTGCCTGACAAGGGTTGTCTCAGAAGGCTCTGCCAGGGCCACAGCCCTGCTTAGAGAATACTGCAGGAGTGTCTTCCACAACTGTGTGTTCAGCCTCGGACTACCACTACTCTTGTTACTGACCCTTGTAGCCAGAGATTCCCCTTTCAGAATAGCTATGTGATCCCCGTCTTCTCCAAACATCTTCACCTCATCCTTGAATCTATCATAGTTTAAGATGCCTTAGTGATGATCTGCTCTTCCCAAATACTATTCAGAGAATCTCCCTTTTGGTTATTATCTAGGTTTGCACCATTACAAATATAGAAAATGGGGGCTGGAGAGATTGCTCAGTGGTTAAGAGTACCAACTGCTCTTGCAGAGGACCTGGGTTCGATTCCTAGTACCCATATGGTGGCTAACAACTGTCCATAACTCCAGTTCCAGGGGAATCCAATGCCCCCTTCTGTATCTGCAGGTATTGCATGACACAGGTACACTTACACACATGCAGGCAATATGCTCATACACATAAAAAAATAAAATTTAAAAAACAAATACAGAAAATGGTGTCAAAATCTATTACTCAAGTTTATATTCTAACTGCAAAGCGAGGGAATCGATCCCTGTCATCCATCCACTTCCTTAGGCTCCACCCACTTCATTTCCTGACTCTCATCACTCTGGGCTCTACCCTTCCCTTCAGTTTCCCATTAGTTATTAATCTCAGAGCTCTATATTTATCCATTTCTTGGACAATCATTCATTCACTTCAGAAGCTTGTAAGAAGTTTTTGTTAGTTCCCTATCATTCAGCCACTTCAGGGCCCTGTAAACGAAATCCTAGTTTGCTTTGTTCAGTTTGATGGAAGTGTTTTAGAATGAAATACAGTAATTCAAACCCTTGAATTTATTATTTATTATTATTGCTTTATATTTGTGGGGTTCTTTTGGTCTTTTTTGAGACAGGGTCTCTCTGCAGCCCCAGCTGGCCTGGAACTCAGACCAGGCTGGCCACAATCTCACAGAGATCCGCCTGTCTCTGCTTCCCAAGGGCTGGGACTAAAGGTGTGTGCCACCAAACCCAGCCTTTGAGTAACTGGTTTTGATACCACTTTCTTTGAAGCAGAGTTGGATTTTATTAAGAAAAGGTTTGGGGGCTGGAGAGATGGCTCAGCAGTTAAAAGCGCTTGCTGCTCTTGCAAAGGACCAGAGTTGGGTTTCCGGTACCCATGTCCAGATGCTTACAAGCACCAATAACTCCAGATCCAGGGGATCTGACATCCTTTGGTGGCCTCTACAAGCACCTGCACCAATGTATACACACACACACACACACACACACACACACACACACACAGATATACATACACGCACAAATAAAAATAAAACAGTTTTAAAAGGAAAGGCTTTCAGACAGACTTAAGCCCAGGTTTTATGAGAGGTGGAGAAAGGCTTGAGGGAAGGACAGCAACACAGGCTTTGGAAGAGGATTCTGAAGACAGTCCTTGCAAGTCAAAAAGATAAATCATTTCATGATGTTTATCTACAGAATCAGATACCAAATACAGCTCACGGGCTAGGAATGTAGCTCAGTGGTGGAGGCTTGTCTCGGTAAGCACGAGGCCCCGGGTTTGACCCCAGTACTGAAAAGGAAAACGCCGGTAAAGCCAACTCTTCTCGTCTTTCAGCCTAGCCATTCATTTTGCAAGGCATTTCCTCCTCACATGTTATCGGCAGAGTGCACGTCAAGGTGCATCTTAACCACAATTTTGTGTCAGCCTTGCCTTCTAGGACAGCACATGTAGGCCATGCTCAGGGTTCCCTGTGCTGTCCCCTAGCTTTCAGATGACTTTCGGGGTCTTCCCACAACCCCTTTGTTGGTTCCTTTCTTCCCTCCATTCCTGCTGTGTAAATACTGTTTGTTGCTGTTAGTTTTGTTTTGTTTTGTTAAGACAGGGTCTTGAAGCCAGGCATGGTGGGCTTTAACCCCAGCAGAGACAGAGGCCAGCCTGGTCTACATAGTCAGTTCCAGGCCAGCTGGGGCTACAGGGAGACCCTGTCTTAAAAAGACAACAAAACAAAATAAAACAACAAAACACAAGGTCTTCTTATGGAGCCCAAACTGGCTTTGAACTCACAATTTTCTTTTGTCAGTCCCCCATGTGCTGGGGCTATTATAGGAAGAGCCAGTATCTAGGATGTATGACTTGGGTTTGAGTCCCAGCTCTTGTTAACAATTTAGGAACCATGTTAGATATGACTACACTCAGTTAGGCAAATGTAGAAATACCTAAATACAATTATATTTTTTTCTATTCATATTTTTATCTTTTAGAATTAATAATTGTGGCAGGGTGTAGTGGTGCATACCCTTAATCCCAGCACTTGGGAAGCAGAGGCAGGCCAGTATCTGTGAGTTTGAGGCCAGCCTGGTCTACCTATTGAGTTCCAAGCTAGCCAGGGCTACACAGTGAGACCATGCCTCAAAAAAGGTAATAATTGTGTGTGTGTGTGTGTGTGTGTGTGTGTGTGTGTAAGTTCATGATGTATATGGGCACACAAACCTGTAGAGGTCAGAGGACAACTTTATGGAGTGGATTCTTTCCTTCTACCTTTACATGGGTTCCAGTGATCAAACTCAGCTCTCCAGGCTTACATAGCATTTACCCACTGACCCATCTTGATGGCCCCCAATTAGATTTTTAATCCCAAGAATAAATTTCAAATTTTGTTTATATATGTCACAAATATGTATGCATTCATGCCTTATCTGGGGGAGATTGGGCTCCAAGGGGGGCCCAAACCCAAGGACATTCAAGTCCTTTGGATAAAATGTGATAATATTTACAGGCACTTTCTATGTTCTTTACATCTTCTCTAGATGACATAGTACCCAATACAATGGGAATACTGTACAAATAGTTGTTACATTATTTTGCTTAGGGAATGGTGACCAGAAGAAAATCTGTATAACTTTAGTACAGATATGACTGTTATAGGACAATAGTACAGATTAACAGCAACACCACATTAAAAAATATTTTTATCTCAACCTGTAGAGGAGTTCTAAGCTATAGACAGCTGACTCTTCTTGTACAATATTCTTTTGGGGTGCATTCTTGCAAAATGTGTGTTGCTGTTCTGTGAGCAAACTGCACTTTTTGGTATACATAAATACCATGTTCATGCCATTCTGTTTCTAACTCTCTTCCCTACACACTGTCCAAATTTGTGCTTTGTCCAAAGCTTGTTCTCCATGGCGCATGGCCCTGCATTCCCCCCAACTACATTTCCTCGTCGACAGATTCTTGTCTCCCCAAATGCTGCCACTGCCCTTTTGGATGCTGGTGTGGATGCAATCATTTGGAAAAGTTCTTTGGACACTCAGGCATGGAGCTTATAGAGTCTATGTTTTACTTACCTACACTGCTGGACTGGCTCCAGAATGGTCAGTCCAGGTCCCCTCCTTCCAGCACTGACTGAACATTCCATCATCTCTGTGGCTCAGCAAATGCTTAGAATCATGTAGCTCTTTATGTCTGATTAAGGAGCAGAATGCATTGCATTCTTACATAATTCCACATTTTTCTATCAACAGTGTATTTGGGCATTTTCCCATATATCCACATCTCAGGTCATTCTGTGCTGCTAGAAGAAAAAGGCCTGAGGCTGGGAACATAAAGAGGTTTATTTGGCTCATGACTTTGGTGGCTGGAGGGTGGAGGGTGTCTACATCCTGATGAGGACCTCCAGGCTGCATCACAACACCATGGAGAAGCAGAAAGGGAACTGCTCATGTGTGGAGGAGTTAAGTATATGGGATAACTCATCCTCTTAAGAACTAACTTATTCCTTGATAGTATTTTGTGAAGGAGACAGGAATGGAATCCCATGGTGGGGAATTTTTTCCCCATCTTTGGTTTCATGTTAATACTCCTCTTGTTTCAGAATTTGGTCCTTTGGTTTAGGGATGCTAAGCCTGTACTAACAGGACATTAGCAATAAGCAGCAACAACATTTGATGCCTGTGCTTGCATTCTTGCTAATTACTAGATGTATTGTCTGTAAGAGATTCAAAAGCCTGTTCCAGCCAGTCGTGGTGGCTCATGCCTTTAGTCCCAGCATTTGGGAGGCAGAAGCAAGCGGAAGCTGTGAGTTCAAGGCCAACCTGATCTACATAGTGAGTTCCAGGTCAGCTGGGGCTACAGGGAGGCCCTGTCTCAAAAAGACAAAAACAAAAAACCAAAAAAAACCCCACCTATCCCAAAACTTGCTGCTCTGCACTCTGTTCTGTTTGCTCTAATAATACATTTACAAGAAACAGCTCAAGTTAAGTTCCCCCTTATGTTTGCAAACAGGCTGAGGGGCCCTCAGGAGGCATAATTTGTTTTACTTTACCAACACCAGCTCAAAACCTATCAGCAAATGACTAAGATTCATGGTGGCAGTGGGTAAGTTGGCATAGGCACACATTTCCTGCAGGACCTGGTAAACGGATCCCAAATAGAGTGGAGATGGTGAAAAGCTGAGGGACACATTCAATGCCTTAGGCTTTTTGGAAATGTAGCCTCCAGGCAGAGCACTCACTCCTTTTCTGAGCCAAGACCACTTAAGAAGACAGTCTGTCTATTCAGTCATGGGGGGGGGGTTGGTCCATAAAATTCCAATCACTACTATTGATACCCTGTTCTCCATCCCCCTGACAGCAAGACTACAAATTTTAGCAACAAATTTATATATTTGGAGACCAAATAATATAGTGCTAAATGCTGTTTGGATTAAAAAAGGGAATTCCTTATGCTAAGTGAAATAAGTCAGACACAAAAGGACAATATATAATTCCATTTTTTTTTTTTTTTGGTCTTTTTGAGACAGGTCACCCTGTAGCCCCAGCTGTCCTAGAATGCACTATGTAGACCAGGTTGGCCTTGAACTCACAGCTTCCGCTTGCTTCTGCCTCCCAAATGCTGGGAGTAAAGGCGTGCACCACCACGCCTGGCTGACACTTGGAGAATGGTGCCCTGGAAAAAGTTCTGGAGATGGGGGGGTGTAATGGATATGTATATCATATATTATATATATATGATATGTATGTATGTATGTATGTATGTATGTATGTATGTATGTGTGTGGGGGTGGGTTTTTCTGTTAACAAATAAAAAAAAACTCATCGATTCATCATTTGGGCCCACATGGTAACTAAAAGCAAGACGAAACTCGGCATTTCTTTAATTTGGTCAGACTCCTGCTTGAATCTGGAGCGGCATGTTTTTCGTTTCAGGAGTTTTCGTCTACCTAACCTATCTCATTCCGCTTCTAAGCTAAAGGCACAGATATAAGTCACTGTCCTAAACCTGCAGTCACTATGGAGTCGAGCAAATACTTCCTCCCAAATGAGGGTAATTATTTGTGATGTTGAGGCTACACCTCGAGCAGGAGTCATCTTATAGGAATCGCTGTCAGGACCAGGGTTTGGAGCGCACGACTACCAGGAGCTACCACGACAGGGTGGAGGAGCGCTCACCTGCAGGGACCTAGGTGTGGCGCTGCGCAACTACTAACACCGGGATGAAGCGCGTACAGCCCCGGGACCTGGATGACGGTGAGCGCAGCTGCCAGGACCTAAAGGAGAGCGCACAGGGCGACGCGCGACTGTCTGGACTTAAGAGGAGAGTGCACAGCTGCCAGGACCTGGATGGAGGAAGGTGCCGTTGCCAGGACTCGGGAGCGGGAGAGCGCAGCTACCTTGACCTGGACGTCGGAGCCCAGTTGCTAGGACTTGAACCGACAGTGCACAGCTGCCAGGACCCAGAGGGTCGCGGGGAGCAAACATCTGCCAGGACCTGGGGGGACGGGGCGGGGGGATGCGCGACAACCAGGACCTGGCTGGAGAACACTGAGCTGCCGGGACCTGGACGTCCGCGCGCACGGCGGCCCAGGCCCCGCCCCGCGCGCGCGTGCCCGGCGTTGGCGCAGTCCGGGTCGAAGGCCTCGGCCGCTGCCCTAGGCCTCCCGCTCGGCCGCTCCCGGCCC